CCTATCCCCAAGCCCTCATCCAGGCAGGCTGCGAGGAAACAATCGAGGTCACCGTGCGCAAACGGAGACTGTGTTTCGCGGGCTTTGTTACGCGCATGGAGCACAGCCGCCTCCTCAAGCGCATGCTGTTAGGAGCGATGGCGGGGGGCGTGGGATACCGGGGCGGGCAGGAGAGCGACTGGGTGTCTCGTCTAGGAGAGGACCTCGTGGCCTTCAACATGGGAGACGACAAGGAAGGGGGTAAATGGAAAGAGAGCGCCAAGGACCCGGAGGTGTGGTACAACAAGGTCGAGGACGGGGCGGCATGGTTCATGAGGAAATGGCACAGGCAGGAGGCGGAAGCGTCCGCGAAGCGCCAGCGCGCAAGGGAAGCAGAAGCAGAGAGTACGGCCATCTCAGGACCGAAGAGAAAGAGAGCCGGGGAAGCGGCGGTGGGGGGGAAGAAACGGCGACCGGGCACTGCTGTAGAAGCGAGTAGGGCGGCCGAGGCAGCACGTGTGGCGAACGATGTACCCGGCTGATGTTGTTGCGCCCTCTTTCTCTCCCTGCTGTATGCTATACTCCTTTTTGTATGTCCTTTGTATTGCCTTCGGCCTCTGTGCTGTGTTTCTTTTTTCATGACCTCCCTGCCTACTTTGCTGTGTTGGGTACCTTGATCTCGCTTTTGCTGTTGCCTTTGTTTTTGTACGTCGGGTTGTCTGCCCATCTGCCGTCTCTTTGTCCTGTTTGCTCCGTTACTCCCATGCCCTGATGCGTAGTGCCTGGTGCTGGTACGTTACCCTTTGATTTTTTCTTTAGGCGGGTGTGGAAGCGTCCTCCTTTAGTTTATTTTTGTTTTATTTTGATCGGTTTCCGAGGGCTCTTTTCTCGAACGGTCGGTNGTGCGTAGTGCCTGGTGCTGGTACGTTACCCTTTGATTGTTTCTTTAGGCGGGTGTGGGAAGCGTCCTCCTTTATATTTGTTTTTGTTTTATTTGGTCGGTTTCCGAGGGCTCTTTTCTCGAACGGTCGGTGCGATACCTGTTCTTTTCTTTCTGTCATTATGTTTTCCGAGTGGTTTGTACCCTATTTTTGTTTTGTTTCCCTGCGGCGTCGNTATATTTGTTTTTGTTTTATTTGGTCGGTTTCCGAGGGCTCTTTTCTCGAACGGTCGGTGCGATACCTGTTCTTTTCTTTCTGTCATTATGTTTTCCGAGTGGTTTGTACCCTATTTTTGTTTTGTTTCCCTGCGGCGTCGTATGTGCCGGGTTTTGAGACCACGGGCTCCCCGTTTTTTGTGGACTATAGAGCTAATGTGAGAAACAACAAACTAGTCTAGTTGCTTCATTACACATCCATCCGTGCCACCATATTTTCATTGTGTTGTGGACGATGCATATTCATGCTTGAAGGGAGCAACCGGGGAAGTGCATAGTCCACATGTATCCAGGCACAATTCTGAAGAGTGCCGGTGCCCGTTATAGTGCCGGTCAAATCGCCTGAACACATACCGGCACTAGATCGGGACACCTAGATACTGCACCCGGTGTCCGGTGTCCTCCTTTCGTGATCCTCTTTTTTTTTCGCACGTAAATCTGCTCTCGCCGCTAAATCTTCCAGAGGGGAAATTACAGGATCTCCGGTCGAGATGATGATGATCTGGATCTCTTGAAAAACTCACTCCTTTGGCCTACAAATAGCGGCCGCAAATAAGAAAAGCTTATTTCAGGTTCAGCCTCAAATTGTTATTATTGTGGGCTACAAACACTCAGCGTATGTCGTTCAATTCCTTATGTCAAGTTTCTTATTTTCGTGCCGCCAAATCCTACTGAATTTCTTCAATCGGCAATTAATTTCTCATTTTCTCTGCTCATGAGAGCTAGCGGAGGGCACCATCAAAACCGTACAGCAGACAGCATATCGTGGTTCGCAGCCTGTCTGATGTACTGCGCCAGAGCCGGAGCGCCAGAGTGCGCCAGAGCCGGCAGGGGGCTGAAGGGGGCGCCGCAAAAAAAAAACACTCCCCCCTCGTCGTACTGAGCCACCTTGGTCTAACGACTACGGCATGCACGACTATGAGTACACCCCCCCCCCCCCCCTCGTCGTACTGGAGTAACGCACTTACTTGGGAGGGGGGGGGTAGTGGGAGAGGGGGAAAAAGAGCGAAAGATAGAAGGAGCTGTGGGGTGTTTCTTATTCGACACACTCTCCCCGTAAGCCCTCGTTTCTTATGCAGTAGGGCAGCGGTCGCCGCTGCTCCTTATTGAGACATTTCCTATTGTGTGACCCAGCGTGAGCCATGTTACTTCACCCTATTTTCTTGTTTTTCGTGGAAAAATGAGCGTTTAGTCTATTTCTTTAAAAAATACCGTTTCTTATTCGCGGGCGCCAACTGTTGTACGCGCGTGCGTCGTGCAAGCAAACGTGTTTATGCTTCCTCCTCTCGGTAGGTGCGATGTCTGTTGCTGTTGTTGTTGTTGGTGGTGGTGGTGCTGTTGCTGCTGCTGCTGCTTCCGCAACTTCCTCTGCTGCTGCTCCCTGCTCCCCTGTCGCCGCTGTGCGGTCGCGCACTTGGGATCTCCGATGTTTGGATTCGCATCGCAATGGATCCAATCCAGTCTCGACGAGCTCTCGCCTCTGCCAGCCCCTTCACCGCTACCCCTGGTATTCCTTTTCCCACCACGCTTTCCCCGCACTGGCCCGCCTCGGGGTGCCGTAACGGTTCTTCCTCGGGAATGTTCCAGCCCCAATTTTTCGCACAATCTCCGATCAACTCTGTTGGATCTTGTTCGCAATCCAGCTCTCTGCGGGACAGGCCCGACACGTGGCTCCACCGCACTCCTGTCGATATGGCTGTCGCTGCCACTGCCGTCTCTGTCTCTGCCTCCCCTGCTTCCTTGTGCTTGTCGTTCCCGATCTGCTTCATGCGGGGTTCGACTGGTGCAAACCCCGTGGTAACCGGACTCGACCAGGACATTGCACGATTTTGGCGTGGATCTTCCTGGATCGACCTTGGCCCGACGGGGACACACACACACGTCCCCGCCACATATCCTCCTTGCTGCTGCTGCTTCTGCTGCTTCTGCTTCTGCTGCTGCTGCTGCTGCTGCTGCTGCTGCTGCTGTTGTTGTTGTCGTTGCCTTTCACATAAACTTATTTTCGCTCGACAATATCACCGTTCGTTACAGTACGCTTGACGTCAATCCTCCCTTTTATCCAGCCGCCTCGGCGGAATAGAGCATGTCCTTGATCTCCTTGAATTGTTCCGTGCTCCGAAACTTGTTGTAGAGGTTTTCTTGGAGCATTTTCCCGATTTCTTTCACAGCCAAGTCCAGGATACAAACTGCGTCGTCCTGACAAGCCACGTGTTATAAAAAACAGAAGCACGCCCATTGATTTCCGAAACAAAGGTCGCACCCAAACCTCGACACGAGCAGTTCAGATGGCAGAATCACCCGGAGAACATACAAACAAGTAGGTAGGAGAACAAGCAGAACAACATATTCGCCTGATTGAGAGAGAAGTATCTGATTGAGAGCGAGAGCCAAAAAAATTGAAATTTCGGGTCCAGACGCCTCTTGCCATTTCTTGGCAAGTAGGGGACGGGCTATTCCAAGAAGCGGTGCAAATTGAAGGTCTCATCAGCAGCTTCGCGAGCATATGCGTGTCATCGTCATCGGATGCTGCAGCGAGGAGCTAGACAAGTTGCTAGATTTGCCCAGATTGGCTATTTCTGCTCAAACTGTTTCAGGGCGGTATCGCGTCGGGCGGTGGGCTCTGCTGTAGCTTCTGCTCCCCGCTGTAGCTCCACAACGAGAGACTCCCACAGGATGACCAGGGTAGCGGCTTGAAGCTACGGGCTAGCCCTTCAATTCAAGCTACACAGCAAGCTCCACCTCTCAGTGGTAGTCCGGCTACAGCGTATCGCGCAATCTCGCTCTCAATCAGATGCTACGCTCTCAATCAGGCGAATATGTTGTTGCAGGTAATTCAACAGCCTTACAAGCGGCTGTTTGGCGTCAACGTCGCTCAATAACAAACATTCTCGTTGAAGCGCAGCAAATTCGAAATAATAGACGATAGATATGACAATCATTTTCTCACATCCGGCTACTTGGGAAACGCCCCCCATTGCTAAGGAAACGCGTCGTAAGGTCGGGCCTTGACCTCGCACTTCAAACTGCTTCGTTGGTATGTCACGTGCATTCTTGAAAATGACGCCTGAGGACATAGACTTTTCTTGCGCCGACTATTCTCACGTCAGCACAACTCCCTGTTGTGCAACGAGTCGATCCAGTACCGTGAGAGTCAAGAGCATCTCTGAAATGTGCTACGCACAATCGATCTCTCTCGGCCGACGCTGGTTCGATCCAAAGGGTTCGGTCATTTAAGCAGGCCACTCAACCTCAGGCCAGGCTTGCTTGTGCTTGACTAAGAAGACCCGTGTATTTGCCTTAAGCAGTCGTAACTTGACACGAACGCCTGTTCCGTACAGTATTACAGGCACTCCTGCAAACAAACATGGCAGCTACGCATTGCAACATACATGATGTAGGTGCGCGTACCAGAGGAAGCTCTTTGAAGCTCGACATGCTCGTCCGGCTAAGAATTTGAGCCTTGGTCTTGCTTTCGATATTAACCTCAAAACTTGAGCCATCCCTGATGTACTGGTCGACGATTTCGTTGAACCGTGCAAAGATGGTGTCGTAGTCGGCGTCAGACGCGTCGAGGGATTCGTGAAAGTCCTTTCCAGCTGTAAGAAACATGAGCGACTGCGTTACAGTTCAGGGCAGCAAGGATCGATCGGCGAAAGAGGGCGACAAGAGGGGAGGAAGTGGACTGGGAGTCATACTTTTGGGTAAAAACGGGGCTCAACCGGGTACAACCGGATATTTCTTGGAACGTCTACCTTGAAGGAACACAAGTCAAACGACTTCATTCCTGAAACACTTCAACGAGGCAGATGCCATGTTTGCGAAAGGTTAGGGATAAGGATTCAAGCCGGGGGCGATTGATCAGCCGAAGGCCAGGCATCTCTAAGGGATCGAAGTCTGGGCACAAAGGGTACCGAGGGAGACAGATGCGTTCAGCAAAAAAGGTGCATGACAGCGTCAGTACCCTGCTGTCGGTCGCGTGTGTAGATTCATCCTACATGTATATTCATCGTCACAAAGGTAAGACAATGTGCATCATACTTCCTCTGTCCCATAAGTCCAGTCGGTAATGTTGGTAGAGACCGTCAACGGCGTCGGATGTCTTTGGGGATAATTTTTTTGAAACCTTGAGCGTTTTCGGGTTGACATACTTCTCTCTTTTTTTTTTTTGCGCACTACCCTGCATGGGCTAGCGGCCAACAAAAAAGTAGTCAGCCCAAGAATGGCGTTCTTTGACCTCTTTCAGAGAGGTGCGGGTGGGGGCACAAATGAATAATACGAATATCCCTAAACCTAACCCCCGGCTACTTGACGATCCATATCACGTCCCCCCACAAAAAAAACATTATAATAATGACCCTACACTTAACCCAAGATACTACGGGGTCCCACACTAAAACCAAGACACTTGTGGGCTCTACACTAAAACCAAGACACTTGGGGGGCAAACCAAACAACAAAAGGGCCACAACCCCAACCCCCCGTCAATTCAATGATCCATGTCGCGTCCCTCCATGCTGAAGCCAGTTTAGTAGTGACCCCACACTAAAACCAGGACATTAATGGGTCTCACACTAAAAACAAGACACTCGGGTGTCCCACACTAAAACCAATACACTTGGAAGTCCCATACTAAAACCATGACTTGGGGGGCAAACCGACGGTTGTCCGGCGGAATAGCCAGGCTATATCCACCGTAATTGCATGGCGGCGGCCGAACGGTAGCTCCCCGCGATGCGCGCGAGATGGGAGGGTATTAGGGGGGAGGTCTATCGGAAGTATGACGTGGTGTGAGCTGTGCGCTGCTAAAAATTGGGGAAGTGTTGCGAGAATTCTCAAAATATTGCTCAAACAAAATCAAAGAAAGGCCCGAAATTGGGGGTTTTCTGACCTTTGGTTTGTTGTCAAACATTGACTTGTTTTTTTTTTCGTCAGCATCGTCTACGCGCTAGCTTTCTAACGAACGTTACTATGAGGTTGGGTTCAACCTCTAAGTACACGAATGACATGTCGCCCATAACCGACTAGACGAATGAGGAAGTATTCCATCCTTTGTGCCTTCTTTAATATTTTTTGCTGTCTCGGAGCATTGTAGAGGGTTTCTTCGCTGCTACGTTTGGAAGGTCTTGTCCCATGTAGTAGAGATCAATGAAGGTGAGGCTTTCAATTGTCGCCCTGATAGTGTCGGCCTTGTGTGGAATACCACAATGAACTAGCACTCCTTAGCGGAAAAGTGAGGGGTAGACTGACTCTCACCTCGCTGCAGAGCGCCTTACGGCAGAACTCGCCGAACGCCTCGAGCAGCGGAGGAAAACGCAGAATTTCTTCCAGTTTATCATCCAACTTCACGCTAGTGAATTTCGAAGACGATGGTTTTGTAAAGACCTTGCTTTCATTCATCACGTCGATCGCCACGGCGCCGCTGCGTGTCGTCCAAGGCACATAGGGGAAGAGCGAGGCGATACCACCTGCGTTGATTGGATGGTCTGCCCTCCTTTGTAACACTTTCCTCACTGGCTGAATGTTGCTGACGAACATCATGGTCCGAGAGGGTGCGAAAACACCGGCATGCACAAAGCGGTGGACAGCAGAGCAATGTCTTTGTTACGTAGCATCAATAAACGCTCCATTCAGCCGGTTTAATGATGATATTTTATTGCAAAATTTTCTTCTTCATGGTTACTGTGGGTAGCACCATTTCGGTTTCGAGTTTCAAGCGTCCTGTACCAGGGGACCTTATCTTTCCCTGGGTGCAATGGGCTCGAAGAAATAGACACAAGCACAATTTTGTCTCCGGCCTAACCCTGCGTGCTTTCATGGTCAAAACCTTCACGCTGGCAACGCTCCTCTCAAACATGTGTGGAGTAGTTACGGTGGAGATTACCATCGATACCAACATCAGGAGTGACTACATACGTGATCCACACGGCCGTCCCGAATCTGGTCGTCAAGAACAGGATCAAGTAGAAATTCAGGACCGTGGCGGGGACCATGGGGATGACAATCCCCATCACTGCGTAAAATCCAGGGGTCCACGGCGGTGGGGTAGGAGAAGGGGGAAAGGGGGGTCTTTGGTCAAACACAAGTCACGCCAAGATTGGTTACTCCAATTGTAGCACGAGGAGGGCTCGAGCTGTGCGCAGCGGGAATGTAATTGTGACGAGTGAAATGATGAAGGTGCTGCATCTCAACGCACGAAGAGTGACAATCCAGAGATGCAATGAAGAAGGCAGAAAACCCAGAGCAAGCTCCTCCCCTCCCCCTGCACGGACATCTGTATGTGGTGTGGGATACCGCCGAAGTTGGACAGAGTCATGACGTCGTGGGGTGGAGGAAACACATCTAACGATGGTAGCCTTGGCCGCGCCCTCAGTAAGCCGAAAGGGGCGTTGCCATAACGTTCGGGCAGAGATATGCCCAGGTGACATCATGATCGAATTCAGGGATGTTTGCGAGAAGTACATTTTCACTGCCGGAATGTCAGACGGACTGTGGATGACAACAGAACCGTTTGGGATTGAAAACAAACTTTAAACGAGGTTCGCTCTATGCCACGCCGGAAGAACACTCGCCTAAGGCCAGCAACGCGAAACCTCCGACACTCCGAATCTCCACGGACATGTCAAACATGTCCTTCGTTCGAGCCAACTTGCCGACGAGCATGAGGGATGCCCCGATAGTGAGCAGCATGTCGACCGCGATAACCGCTATCATGGCTCCGGCGACCCTGTAAGCAGCAAATTTGATTCGAATAAGGAGTTCCGTGAATAATGTTGTCAACCACCGCATCGCTTGCAGCGCTTCGTGGAAAGTCTCGCCGAGCATTGCTGTATGTACCAATCTCGGTCGTGGCCGGAGAAACCTAAAAACGCGGTGAATACTATCATCATAACGTACAACTCGCGAGTCTATGTTGATGCCCTCAGCCCTACGCACACATTCTACCGTAAGGCAACGAATTGTTGGGGGAAACCTCGATAGGCCTTGTTTTGTTTTGGAGCTGAAATAGTTCTGCACTACCGGAGACAAGGAAACCTTCGAAGGAATGCGCTGCAACACCGCAGTCTCCCGTGCGGTGCCTTCCGAACCCTCTGGGCTGAAACTCACGGGCGAGTCTAGGTTGGCATCGGCACACCGAGGTTGGGTGTAGAACAGTTGTAGCAATCCACCAGTATTTTCGCTTGCATGGCCAACACACGTCGGCGCAAAATGTGCTACGCTTGAATAAGGAGACTTGAGACGAATGGGCGAGAGTTGACACGAATGAGCAGCGAGGATATGTTGGCTGTGAGCCTCTTACTGTTGTCGTCTCCCTGTTTATCCACTATTATTTCCGAAGGTATAGAAAGAGGCTGTGAGCCTCTTACTGTTGTCGTCTCCCTGTTTATCCACTATTATTTCCGAAGGTATAGAAAGTCGCCGTTCTCTCACCTTGCCGCCCCTACCACCACCACCGCGAGCGACGACACGAGCTGAAGGACGACGAAGAGAACAATAACGACCTTGACCATGAAGGTCTCTTTGTTGAAGTACCGCCCCCAACGATGTCGCATGTGAGGGTTGTACATGACGAGTAGGCGGATGCCCCGAATAATGTACGCCCCAACAAACGCGACAAGAACCAAAGGTACCGTGATAATCGGAGCGAAAGCGAGCTGAGCATTAACCACTTCGCTGTTTATCACGGCACCTGTAGTCGCGAAAGCCCAGACCGATACGCCGGCAAGGCCCGACACTGTCCCCAGGAGGGGAGATCTGCGTTCCGATCGTCGCGCACAGGCAACAAACAGACAGCGGTAAATCGGGCCATCTGTCAAGGGGCAGCTCGTTTCGCAAGTAGACTATTCTTGGTGGTAAATAAATTCACCACGGTACCTATTTTCCCACGTTTAACTCTCCCCTGTGGAACGCGATCGGACATCGCCCTCGAAGGAGCATTTGCCTTCGGCCTTTTCGGTGCTTATATGGTGGCGATGGCGTGTGTGAATTTGTTTTGGCGCACAGAAACAAATCTCGCGGCCTTCGTCAATCAGTTTATCTTTAGTGCACCTCTGGGGGCCAGCCAATCGTAGGCGGGGAAAACTGGGCGTTTTTAGCCCGGGATTGTTCACAGATATCAAGTGGATATCCTCAGACTGCTCAGAGTGTTCCGCAGGTATTCCGCCGCGCCCTCGACTCTTGTTTACCGAGCATTCTCTGCACGTTTCTGCACCAAATCACCACCGCTCCAAGAAAAATGAACGCGGCGAGGCCGTAGAGGGCTCCGATCAAGGCCAAAGTCATTCCTTTAACAACGCGTTGCCGGCTGCGTGTGGTCCGGTCACGCCAGGCCAGGGGCAGAAGAGGAAACTGCCTCCGCGCACGCCCTCTCTTGAATCGAATTTTTTCGATCAAAACATCCGGTTTTGAGGCGACGCACAATGTCAGATCGCTGGCCAGCGTATGCATGGACATGAAACCTTGGAGGGCGTGGCCTCTATGCTCAGCTCTTTTTTGGGGGGGTGGTGGGTTTGCAGCGGCTTGTCTGAAAGATTGTGCAGAGATAAACAGGGTCTGTGCTTCAAAGTAACTCCTCTATGCTGCTGCTGTAGGTTTTCGAGCCTCGTCGTGCGCACATTCCTCTTTCTCTTGACGACTAAGAGAACAAATCAAGAGCTGCCCTTCGCCTCTGGAAGGGGAAGGTGCACTGAGCCTAAAGCCCTCGCGGTCAGAGGTGAATGTGTGCTGTAGGCAAGGAGACGCAGCTCCTCTTGTTGTCAGGTGGTGGACCACAAGGCACACATGGAGTTTCTTTTGCTGAGGCTTCGTTTGGCAAAGTGTTGTGGAACACCACCGCCAACGACGTTCCGCCTGTAGACTTCGGCAACAGTCACGCTCTGCCACGTGTGACGGCCGCTCTTCTTTCGAAACGAGGAGATACATGTCGGGTCGCCACAAACCCGTACTTATGCCATCTTACACCCTCTCCGACGGCAGATTTTTTTGACACGAGTGATATGTTTTTCGGCTGTTTGGCTGTTTCGGAGAAGAGGTGTTCCGCCGGTGTTCCGCCGCCTCTTCCGCCACACAAAGAACAGATATATTGCCCCCCCCTTCTACTCCGCACGCACAGGGGAGGGTGCTCCCCGACCCTCGGACTAAAACCTGAAAATGTTCTTGCAGCTTGCCCGAGTTGGGGATGTTGAGACAGGTCTTCGAGGAGTGTGGAAGCCTTGGGAAATGTAGTTTTTGCTCAAGCACCGACAAGCTTTTACTTGCGTGCACGAGCTTCCCTCTCGGTTTGAGCACAGCGTTGTTCCAAGCCTCGGTAAAGGAAACAACCTACTGCGGTCCCGCGGACCACAAATTTGGTATGTATGTGTGTGACTGTACCCGGAACACATGTACCGCTCAAGAAAACATACAACTTCGGTCGTCGATCGGACCAGCTTAAGAGATGTTGCCTTTGCATCATGGCACACCTGACCGCGATGTAGAAATCCTTTCGCAGCAACCAGGTGGCGACGATATGGCTGGCGGCGAAGAGAGCTAACCCCGCCGTCGCGCAGAAGAGGATGATCTTGACCACAGTCGCCATCATCGTCAATCTCGTGTACCTTGAGCTCGAGCAGGACGTCGAATGTAAATATCCAATGGCGCGATCCGACCGAATCGTTGCCGTCGTCGCACGTACAGCGATCGAGGCGGACGTGGTCGTGGGTGCACGTCGGTCAGCAAAAAAAGGATGAAACGGCAAAAAACAACTATTAATATAAATAAGTGACAGTCCAGTACGATGATCCACCGCATTGGAGCCAAGGTTTTTTCGGAAGGCTGTCTCTTATAACGTTCGGAAATCCAGTTGAAAAATGCGTAATTTCC